CGCTACTTGTTGGGCTTGTAGCATCTCGAAGATCATACGCAAGCTGGCCCCGATTTCCCCCGCGTTATGAGTATCTCGGGCTACGGATCGAGTACCGCCCTGAATGCTTCTTTTCGGTTCGGAACGCTGATGCGCCTCTAGAGCTATTTGTGAATTGACATCCAATGGTACTTCGGCTCGAATTTCAGGTGCTTCGATTCGAGCCTCAGTGCCATTATCGAGTGAGTTGTTGGTTTCATCTTGAAGGCCGGCTTCGTGGTCGATAGGTAAAGCCATTGCAGATTTGAAGTTGTAAGCTGGTGTGTACTGTAGATTTATATCAAACAATCACTGTTATCCTTAGCCCCACGGTGGGCGCCAAACTGTTTACCCGAAAAATTGGATAATGTTAAATTTATGTATGGTTCTAAGGATACGTAATACCCTATGATATAAAGATAACGATACGAGTATTTTGATTATGAGAATGTGAATGATGAACAGAAAGAATGAATAAGATTAAGCAAGACAAACACAAGGAGATATCTTTGTATATAAGAAAAGATCTTTTGTTCCAATCTATTCAATATCTTTAGCTTACAAGGATATCTTTGTATATAAGAAAAGATCTTTTGTTCCAATCTATTCAATATCTTTAGCTTACAAGGATCCCCTTTTATAATAGAGGGTCATTACATTATTTATAACAAAATAATAAAATAAAGCATATAGTGGAGAATCCATGATGATTTGTCTCTTCCTCGATTCCCGTCAAGATTCTCTTTCTTGGTGCGGTTGCAACGACTCTTGTCTGTGAGCTCGACACTGGCTCGAACTCGATACTGGCTCGAACCCGTTATTGGGTCGGCTCTTCAGTCTTGGCTTGAATTCGACCTTCGGGGCGGGCGTGGTACATTTCCGACCTCGAAGCAACGGCTCGGGCTCGATAAGATTATCGAGCCGACTCCTCGAGCAACCTTTGGACTCGAGGCTCGTTTGTACTGTCTTCGGAGTTTACTCCCAAAATCCTACTCCGGCTTCTTGCCACTCGATCTCGATCGAACGTAGCAAAGGCGAAATCTATTTTGACCGTATACAATATATTCTGCTTTATACTAATTTTATGATTAGAATAGTGAAATTTGACTACTATGGTTAGTTTGTGGGATGCAGAGGAAGTACAAAATGAAAAAAGGCAAAGTTCTTATTGGCAGTTTCTGAACTTCAAGGTTTTCTTACTTTCTCTCTTTTCCATATGTTCTGCTTATTAGAAGTTTATGATTTAAAAATAGTGAATGTTGACTATTTTATTTTGGATTATTTAGATGCAGATGAAGCGTAAAATAAAAAGACGCATCGCAATGAGAATGATTGACAGTAATGACGCAAGTCATGAAGTGATAAGCTTGACACAAGACTCTCGCTGCATTTTCTTTTCCTTTTTCGTTTTTTGGGGTTGGCTCATTTCGTATTGGTTTAAATTGGCTGTTTTTTTTTCGATATAGTAAAAAAGAAGAAACTTTATTTCTGCATTTGACGTTTAGTGCGAAGATCGGTACTATAATAAACTCATTTTGTAATGTTTCTTGGATTTTAACAAATTAAAACTCTATGAAGCGGTTATTTTTTCTCTACTGATAAGTAAATAAAGAAGCTATTCAGAATCGGATGCTATTAATTCATTCAAACTTAAGGTCTTTATATGTGTGTGATGAATAAAACATACAAACAAAAAATACACATAAGTTACGTTTATAATAAGAAGATGCAGAAAGTTGAATAAAAATCGGCGGCAGGAAGTATCGCCAAAAGGCATCACCGGTTTTCTTTATGCATATTTTTGTTGTACTGCTGGGACTATCTCTTTTCATTTTAATCCTTTAATTAGTGCAAAACAAAAAATATAGGTGCAATTTTCATTGATTTTTGGTTTGAAAATATATAACTATGATTGAAGTTATAAGTATGTATGAGTGTATTATTTCTAGAAAGGAAACTTGCATATGTTTATGTAGTTTCAGATGTGTACTTTTTAGTCATTACAAACCTGTCATTTTGTCCTTCAATTCATGCTTCCACATTTTGTGCATACAGATAATTATTGTATTATTTTAAATAAGATTATTTAACGAACCAAAAGAATGGTTGATAGAGCATACATTTTCCAACAGAGAACTAATATTTTGGGCAGGAGTAAAATATTTCTTACCCAAGTATAGAGCATACATTACTTTACTGGAAAAAGTTATTTGTTTTATCTGATACCCTTGCAACAAAGGGGTTTGTTTTCGTCAAGATAAACTTCAATTGTGTTCTAAATTTATGTCTAGATTACATCGTAAGTATTAATTTGAAATATTTAATTTATACAATCTACTTTTAGATATTTATAATAAAAGTTTTAAATTTATTTATTTTAAATACAAGGTCGTATGTAGTCTCCGAAAACAAGAAAGGTATTAAATTTAAGTTGACAGGACAAGAGACAACGGTTCTGCTAATATAAAAGTTTATATTTCATTTATATATTATCATCTTTTAATATACGAATAATTATAATTTAAATATTTTTATTTTCGTAATTAGTAGTCTTAAGATGAAATTATTCTAAATTTTCATTTTAGTCTTTTATATTCTTAATATTTCGTGAATTTTTTTAATTAGATAAAACTTAAATTTATTGGTATTATATTCGATCGCGCATCGCGGGCAACTTTACTAGTTTCAAAATAACTTTTGTAACTCCCCCGTTTTGTATTTTAGTTTACGTTTTTCAAAGGCGCCATAAATGTTACATAAAGAACTTTTGTTATTATTAAAAAAAAAAAGTTAGAAGCAGGTTGAATGCTCCAATTATTTTGAACTCAAACACTGTGTTAATGTAGTAACATTCTTTTTATCATTTAAAAGATCTGTTACTATTTTACATAATTTATTTTTTTAAATAAAATTTTTTAAATTGACGCGACACACACGTGCAACGCACGTACTCTAAAACTAGTCATCTTAAAAGCACGAAGGCACTTAGCGAAATGTCATTCGCCTTTTTTACCCTTAATAAGTATATTTTATATTGAATATTATTGTAATTGTAAATATAAATAATTTAAATTATAGTGTAAAAAAAAAGCTCGATTCAACATCCGCAATTAAAATCATTTTTGGCTTAGGATTTCTTTACCAAACTGGCCGGCAATTAATGTCACTTTAATTTTCCACCCGCAGTTAAAGTCACATTTGGCTTAGGATTTTCTTACCAAAACTGGCCGGCAATTTAATGTCACTTTAATTTTAGTATTCTTTTACCATAATTGCCGTTGATTTTGTTTAACTATATTTTACCAGTGCACTGGGTTATTCAATTAAATGGAAGTTCCTTCTTGAAGAATAATCTATATTTCAAATATTTACGGTTGTACAATAATTTTTATAGTGTGAAAAAGCCACTTTAATGTCACTTTAAGTTTAGGGTTCTTTCATCAAAATCACCCAGCAATTAATGTCACTTATGGTTTAGTATTCTTTTACCAAAATTGTCGTAGGATGCAAAGCAATTTTTGGTTTTCTAGAATTTTAAAACCAAAATTATTAAAAGAAGTCACTATTCCATATTCCTTATCATAAACTCTTGGTAGTATCCTGTGGGATGAACTTGCTTGTGATTTTGAGGTAAATTTTCTAACCTTTAGGTTGTTTTTGAAGTTATATAATAATAAACAATTGCAAATTAAAAAGTTGTTGTTGCGATTATTGTATATGATGTCTCATATACGATTATAAAAGAAATGGTTAAACATTCTAACTCATATATTGCTCATATTTTGTAAGAAAAAAAGGTGAATTCAATTACCTCTTTTAGTTGATTCCTCCGGTCCACTTTAATTGATTTTTTGGTCTTTTTTTTTGTGGTCCATAATATTTAACTTTTTTAAATATCAAGAAGGAATTAACTTTTTTTTTCTAAAGTTGCGCTTGGAGTAAAAAAGCTTAGGAGTATTTGTTGTACTTCCAATGAACAAATTAAGGTTAATATAATCAATTTTATTATTAATTAATGATAAAAGGTGAATTACTTACTATGTGTAAAACAACCAAAAAATGAATTAGTGTAGATCGAAGGGAGTATTATAAATATTAAATGATTTAAATTTTTCTTATACTTAACAATAAACATTGGCAGTTGGCGTCCTTGCACCTAGCCAGAATTTTATCTGTTATATCAGTTCAGGTCATTATGGAATACCTGATTTTTTTATTGCATTTCATTTTTTTCTCTTTGAATTTTAGAAACAGAACAACTAAACGTTAAAGTTCTCTTTTTCTTTATATGATGTTTAATTCTTATGGGTTCAAGTCTTTCTTTTAATCGTATATTAAATAAATTTTCAAATATCTTGATTGACTTCTATCCTGCCTTGTTGGTATGATAGAGCAACAAAAGCGACGGAGAGATATATCAAGAGCATTGTCTACTAAGAGATATCTAACATAATTACACATGCTATAAAACTAGACTAATTAATTTCTCATGTTTGAAGGTACATAAGTTATCCTATTATTTTGAACTCACCTATTACATCAATGTAATACTAACACTCATTTTTCCATCTAAATGAATGTTGTATCTATTTGAACGTCAATTGTTATTATACATAATTTGTTTTTATTATAAACAATTATGGTATTAATAGATTCAGCTAATTAACACGTGCAACGCACGTATCCTAAAACTAGTGTTTATTAATTTTGTATATCAATTGAAGGCCTCACAAAATTCATACTGAAAGAAACAAAATCATAATTTAAACTTCAGCTTGTTTCCATCACAAAGAGTACTGACCTTCAACATTGGAAATTTGGCGCTGTCTCTTGTGTGCAGGTTCACTGGAATCATCAGCACAAGTTGGCCTAGAGAAACCTTACAACTCTAAGATCTGACAACAGAAAGAAAATGTCCTGTAAAACATCCATATCTGGGCTCTATCTCTTCCTTTGAAAGTTCGGCACATTAAAACACATCTGGATTGAATCCAGGGATAGAGTTGCTTTGCTGAGCTTGCCGCAAATGCATTTTCAAAGCATAATTGTTGATCTGTGACATGAAAATGAAATCAGAAAGTTAAGAGCGGGGAAACTTGTATCTTTTTCAATTCTCTAAAACTGAAAAGTCTACTTTTTTCTGGATAAAGTAAATCTTAAAAGTCGCCATTTCTCTCTTCTGTGGGAGATTATGCTTCTAGTTTAGAGCACCTTATCTGCTCCTTCTTCTCCATATTATTACTGTTGTTTCTTTTACTTCGGGTATCGTTACTATTTTGTTGTCATTACTTTTATTTTGCTTTTTTACTGTTGTATTTTTCAACCTGTTTTGCAAATGCTATTCTTGAGCCAAAGGTTTGTACGAACAACCTCTCTACCTCACACAAGGTAGGGGTAAGTTCTGCGTAAACCTCACATTTCCCAGACACCACTTGTGGGGTCACACTGGGTATGTTGTTATTGTTGTTGAATAGCAAAAAGTATTGTTAGATTATAGTAATAGTTTGACAAGATGATAAAAGGTCTTACAGAAGGATATTAATGATCATTCTCTAACATTTTGAAATTTTTGCTTGATACCTTTCAGTTCTTGTCATGCAAACATAATGGAGTAAACTACCGAAAGGCATTTAATTCATCAACTACACCTAAATGCAAAACTAGATGGCTCAGCAACAACATCTATGGTTTTTCGTCCCTTAAAACGCATATGGTATTAATTTTATTCTCAAAAAGGAAAGTCTGAAAACACAATCTAGTAACTGAGATGTTCATCTCTACATCAGTTGTTAGGTAATTTTCTGTTAGCCAAATTGGAGGTTAAGTTTCCAACATTATAGAAATGAGGCTAATACCCTTTTCTCAGGAAAAGGTACTTCAGTGACATTCTTTGCATTCCAATTATTATCAAATCTCTGCGTGTCACATTGAATGAACTCCTTTTTTTATTGAGGTCAAAGAATGCCGAATTGATAAAATTCTATAGCTATACAATTTCCATTGATATTGCAATACTTATCCACCTATCCTTGACAGCTCTGCTTAAGAAGACAATTCTAGAATACACAGGTATATTGTTTAAGCAACAACTATTTTCCACATGATTATTATCAAAAAGGGTTTGGACAAGCACTTAGACCAAGAAATGCAAACGGACTTTCTATTAGTGGTGCAGATCAGCAAAGAAGAATCTCAACTATTGTGAGAAAATATAAAATCATTCAATTTGTCATATGTCATGGCTAGGGTGAGAAGTTTATGAAGTTGGAATGTTTACCTCAAGAGTTCTCAATTGCTCTTTACCCTGAGCAATCAGCTGCTTTAATTGATGCACTTCCTGGTTCCTTTCATCATACTCTTTCTGACGTTCATGCTGAATGGACACTGCCCTCTTGAGAATGGTATTCTCTCGGAGAAGCACTTCTATTTGCTGTTTCAGCATAATATTTTCCTGCGAATTGAGGTAAATTGAAGTCAATAAATTAGCAGGTCAAAGGGTAACCCCAGAATTGTTAATGGTAATTCTCATACAGCTGAAGCACCACAGTCCACTAATGTTGCTAATGAAATCAAGGAAACGAGTCTTGGAATGTATAGAGAACATTACTAAATATATTCTTAACCTTGTATATATATAGTAATTATATCCAAAAAACGTGATCAACTAGTGATGTTTCCTGCCACCAATCCTTGGCAAGAAATTCATTGCCTATAAGTCTAGAACTCATGGATTAAAACGGAAACATGCATTTCAATACCAACCTTGTGAGAATTTTGAGCTGCCTCTGCACCTGCACGTGAACTAATGCATTTCTCTAAGTTCTCCAACAGCCTGGTAGCTCGAGCCTTGGCATCATCTATGCTTGTAGCACTCATCATTTCCTTCACAAACAATTCCTCCCATTCTACACCATTGGCAGGAAACTTGTTTTCAGAAGGATCTTCTGACTGAGCAGCCGGCACATTGGTGGGGTTCATACCTGCCAATTTTTCATGAAAAATCTTTCTTTTGAGAATAATTGGAAATCATGTTCCTGATCAGGTATTAACACAATACTACTACAAACCCA